TGCCACGAATGCCATCCTCCCTGTGGGCACATGTGTTTCATCTCTCTCCTGTTTGTTCTGAGAGCCCCCTTATTCTGCTGGACAGCAAAAATTTCTTTCAGCATCTTAGCTGTACCTGACCCTGACCACACACTGGGGATACTGAGGCACAGCACCTGTGCCCTACCCAAGGAGCTCACAGCCAAGGTCAGTAACTTACAGCAGCATCTCCTGGATCTTTCAACACTCCATGTGAACATGAGAAGGGTGACTCTGATTCTGGGAACCACCACTCAGAAGCAACAGTGGGTCCCTGCACATGTGCAAGACTCATGGTGTCACCTGTAGAGTGGGATCATGAGGGTCACTGCACTGGGTTGAAAAGTGCCCTTCAGAGGGGGAGCTAGAACTATACTTAAGTCTGGACTCGGCCACAGAATATTTAAGAATAGGACACCCCATCCCTGGATTCCTAAATTACCCACATCACGCCTGAGCCAGGATCCAACAGAGAAAGGACCTGAGGTCCCAAAATAATCCCACAGTTGCCTTTGTGACTCCCTGACCATCTCCAGACAGGCCAAGGAATGACCACATGGGCAGGACATAGACTCCCTGGAAGAGACACACAGAATTCCCCTCAGAGCTCTGCATGGCCAGATCAGCTCAGGAATAAGGCCAGGACCCCACGATCTATAGTGGAGATATCAGCCCAGACAATGGGACCAGCAGGAGAAGGAGAATTCTGTGTGCTGGAGCCTGTGTCCTCTCTCTGTGTGTCCTCTTTGTGTCTCCTCTCTGTGTCCCTTGGGGCTGAGCCCTTCTCTGGAAACCACAAAACTCCTCCAGCAGCTGCCCCTGACTCTGCTGATTTGCATCAAGGGCCACTCACTCCAGTAAGGGGAAAAGAAAGGCCTGGGAGAAACCTGCCAGCCTGAGCCTCAGGAAATAGCATCGGGGGAGCCTCAGCCATGGCCTGGACCCCTCTCCTCCTCGGCTTCCTTGCTCACTTTACAGGTGCTACCCCCAGGGTCCCAGCCACCTGCCCAGCTCCAGGACTCTGAGTCTAGCCTGGCCTGACCCTGAGCTCAGCAGGGCCCTGCCTGTGGTGGGCAGGATGCTCATGACCCTGCTGCAGGTGGATGGGCTGGAGGGGGCTGAAATCTCCCCATGCTGTGCTCCTGTGCTCACACTGCCCTAAGGGCTCTTTCATGCCTGGAGCCATGTCCACGCCAGGCACATGGGAGATTTTCTTGGCACTCAGCTCTTCAGTTTCAAGCCTTTTCTCTCCCCCTTTCTCTTCCTGCAGCTTCTGTGGCCTCCTATGAGCTGACTCAGCCACCCTCAGTGTCAGTGTCCCCGGAACAGACAGCCTGGATCACCTGCTCTGGAGATAAACTGGGGAATAAATACACTTCCTGGTATTAGTAGAAGCCAGGCCAGGCCCCCATGCTGGTCATCTACACTGATAGCCACTGGCCTTCAGGGATCACTGAGCAATTCTCTGGCTCCAACTCTAAGAGCATGGCTACCTTGACCATCAGTGGGGTTGAGGCTGGGGTTGAGGTTATTACTGTGCTACAGATCATGACAGTGGGAACAGCTGGCAGTGACTCCCAGTGACACAGACAGATGAAGACATGGGACAGAAACCTCTCTCCCAACCTGGCTGTCATTCTCAGGCTGCCCCCTAAGCAATGACAATGACTTCCATTTCAACTGACGCTGCCTGTTTCTCCCGCAGCCCAAACAACAGGAGAATCCTGTCAGATTTTCATTTGTATCATGGTTTTCACAAAGAATTCATTTCAAACCCAAACATCTTGCCACTTGAAATCCAAGCCTCTGCAGAGACCAGCACGCCGGTTCAGGGTATGGAAAATGCGTCTCGAGAGCTTGGTTTCTGTACTGGGGACCAAGTCTTTCCTCTTCCTTTCAACTCAGAGTGTGGCAGGTGCGCCCCCTACAGGCAGCTGCAAGAGCCCACAGTGGGGACCCTGAGTATTTGGGCTGAGGATTTTCCCACGCCCTCCCGGGGCAGGCTGGTCCCAAGACATCCAGATGTTATTGTTCCAGGTCCAGGGCCTCCATGGCCCTTTTTCTCTCTCCTTCCCAAGTAACCTTGGGATTGTCACACCCGCTCTCAGCCCTTCCCTTCTCTCTCAAGTGCATTTTGCAGATTGTGTGCTCCCTGGTCCTAGATAATTTCAGGGAAAGCAGTGCTGGTTACCTACATGGAATCTCACACAGCTGGCCTAGGGCCAGAGGCACAGGCAGCAGTGCGAGTCCCCACAGAGCTACATGGAGGGCACCGAGTCGAGGGGACGAACCAGGAACCACTCTCCTGAGTGTCTTCAGCCACAGGTGAACTAGGAAGGGGCCGCTGGGCTCGGCTAAACCCACCTGAGCCTCCTCTGTTTCTGGGGAGGCTCAGGTGGGTTTAGCATCATCCTGGAGGCCCCTATATGTGCTAAGCATTCGCCAAAAACCTGATTAATTACCTGGCAATTTCCTGTCACCACACCTGACTATGCATGACTCACCCCAAATTACCCATTTGTTAGAATAGCACAATGAACCTACACTGGCTTGAATCTGGAACCTCTTGGATTTGCCACCATCCTTTCAGATCCTCACATGCACTAGACACTTCCCATGGGGGCCTGACTCCACTGTTTCCCACGCAGCTCCAGGAACTCACTCCTACTTTAACCCTGACTACAGTTCCAGAGACACCTCCCAATGAAGGTGTCCACAGGCTCGTATTCTAACACGACCTCCTTGTCATTTTCTGCCTAAATCTTTTTAATTATCTGCATAACATTTACAACTGTAGAGTTCTTTGCCTATTGTTATTTTATTAACTGAATGATTTGTGTCAATTATTTTCCTAATTGTCAAAAATGCTTTATTGCCACAAGAACACACACATGAAAAATAGGCACATAGCTAAGGGCATATTTCCTCCTGCAATAATACCCACCACTACCATGAACACACTGGGGTCTCTAACTTTCTACTCCACGATCCCTGTAACATTGGTTTTCTTTCCATCCTTGCTGTTGTAAGATGTCAGGGTGGCGGCTGCAGCTCCAGCTATCACACCCGCATTCAAGAGGAAAAGGGCCACACAAATCTGTTGTATTCCTTCCCTTCACGACAACAAAAACTCCCTAAGAAGAACCTCCCCCACTGAATCTCACATCCCATTGACCAGTCCTGGGCCACACGGTCAATTCCGGCTGAAAAGAAGCTGGGAATCACAGGCAGCAGTCTTTTCGGTGAACATACAAGACAATGCTCAGGTAGAAGGTGGCACGTAGTATCTGCTGGGTCTGCAAACCCGGTGTTTACTGAATGGCCAAACCAACATGATGAGCAACTCACTTCAAGAAGGCTGTGTCTTTTTCCTGCTGAATTCCCAGCAGGAAACGTGTCCCAGACCAGAGTGCATCTGGATAAACATTCACTCTTTTGTCTCTGATGGTAGTGTAGCAGCCACCACAACACATTGTCCCTGCATCCACAGCGGGCACCAGTAAGAGCCAGTCCCTAAGTCCTGTGACCCGCATCTTGCGTCCCAAGCCCTTGTATCTCCCCCATAATACCCACAACCCAGAGACAGGTGCAGGCAACCGCAGGTGGACCTGCCTTCTCCTCTGTCAAATAGTCATGTTCATATTTTCATGTGTAAGCTGAGACCCTTGTACAGTCAAGGACAACACAGATAAGAGAAATTCCTCCCCTGAGGTCAGCAGTCCACAGATCAGGGAATCAGGGACCTGGGCAGCAGATTCTGAATCCACACCTGAGCCAAGAAGGCCCCTGAGTCTCCAGCTGCCACAGGGGGAAGCAGAGAGTCACCTGGCAAAGCCACCTGGGGAGGGGGTGGGCCTAGGTGACAAGGAGAAGCTGACATGCAGGGAGGGTCAATGACCAACACCTGACACCCAGAGGGAAAGATGGCATTTTTCTACAGCATCATCCTTAACACGAAGGTACACGTTCTCCAGGCTTTGTGTTTCTCAGCTCCATCTCTCGCCGATGTTACATATTTGACACAGGTGCAGATACTTTGCTTCCCCCCACACCCATTGGGCCATTCTTCTGTGCCACAATGCTGTCACCGCCACAAAGTTCGCCTTTGCTTTTGTCTTTCGTCTCCCTCCTGTTTCTTCTGAGAGCCCACTCATTCTGCTAGACAGCAAAGACCTCTTTCAGAGCCTAAGCTGTACCTGACCCTGACCACACACTGAAGATACTGAGGCACAGCCCCTGTGCCCTGCCCCAGGAACTCACAGCCAAAACCGGGAACTCATAGCATCTGCTGGACCTTGCAACACTCCGCGTGCACATGACAAGGGTGGCATTTGATTCTGGGAACCACCACTCGGTAGCAACAGCAGGTCTCTACACATGTGTAAGCCTCATGGTGTCACCAGTAGAGTGGGGTCACAGGGTCACTGCATTGCCCTCCAGAGGGGAAGCTAGAACTACACCTAATATCTAGACACTGCCACGAAACATTTAAGGACAGGACACTCCCGGAGTCCTTAAATACTCACATTACTCCTGAGCCAGGAACCAACAGAGGGAGGACCTGAGGTCCCAGGATAATCCCTCAGTTGCTATTTGACTCTCTGGCCACCTCCAGGCAAGATAAGAAATGACCACATGGGCATGACATCAGATTCCCTGGAAAATGCACCCAGAATTCCCCTCAGGGCTCTGCAGGGCCAGGCCAGCTTAGAATTGAGGCCAGGCCACAGCCTACAGCAGGGATGTCAGCCTAGACTATGGGACCAGCCAGAGAAAGAAAATCCTGTGGGCTGAGGGCGGGTCTTACTGAGCCACCCCAACCTCTCTATGTTCCTTGGTGCTGAGCCCTTCTCTGGAAACCACAGAGCTCCTCCAGCAGCTGCCCCTGACTCTGCTGATTTGCATTATAGGCTGCTGTCTCCAGCAAGGGGATAAGAGAGGCCTGCGAGGAACCTGCCCAGCCTGGCTTCAGAAGCAGCATCTGGGACATGTCAGCTATGGCCTGGACCCCTCTCCTCCTTGGCCTCCTCGCTCACTGCACAGGTGCTGCCCCCAGGGTCTCAGCCAGCTGCCCACCCCCTGGCTTCTGGGTCCAGCCTGGCCCTGACTCTGAGCTCAGCAGGGCCCTGCCTGTGGTGGGCAGGATGCTTATGACCTGCTGCAGGGGGATGGGCTGGTGGGTCTGAAATGCCCCCAACACACTATCCTCACTGGCTTGTGTGAGCCTGACAGGCTGCACCTGCCATGAGAAAGGGGGAATGCAGACAGAACTTTCCTGTAGACTGTGGCATCCTGGCCTTACTCCTGAGCTGGCCCAGCCATGCAGTGCTCTGAGGGGAATTTTGCCTTCCATTCTCCCATTTGTTCAAAGTCCGCATCCTCGTACCATGCACATGAACCACTGGGGCTGAGATCAATGGGATGGAGTGAACTGAGGGCTCACTGAGTATCAGGAGCTGATTCCAAGTACAAAAGGTGAGGAAATGCCTTAGAACTTGGTTTTTCATTCTCAAGCCCACCTGTCTTTTCTCTCCTTGCAGGTTCTGTGGCTTCCTATGAGCTGACTCAGCCACCTTCAGCGTCAGTGTCCCCAGGACAGACAGCCAGTATCACCTGCTCTGGAGATGAATTGGGGGATAAATATGCTTACTGGTACCAGCAGAAGCCAGGCCAGGCCCCTGTGCTGGTCATCTATCAAGATAGCAAGCGGCCCTCAGGGATCCCTGAGCGATTCTCTGGCTCCAACTCGGGGAACACGGCCACCCTGACCATCAGCAGGGCTGAGGCCAGGGATGAGGCTGACTATTACTGTGCTACATATCATGGCAGTGGGAGCAGCTGGCAGTGACTCACAGTGACACGGACAGATGGAGACACGGGACAGAAACCTCTGCCTTAACGTGATGTCACTCTTAGCCGCCCTCTAAGCGATGACCGTGACCTTCACTTCAACTGACTCTGCCTGTTTCTCCTGCAGCCCAAGCAAGAGGAAATTTGCATCAGATTTTTATTTTTATCGTGATTTACACACACACACACACACACACACACACACACACACACACACACACACACAATCAGTTCAAGCCCTAACATCTTACCACTTGAAATCCAAGCCTCTGCAGAGTCCAGCGCACAGGGTTCAGAGGATGGAAAATGTCTCTAGACATTTCCTGCATTGGTGACCAACAGCTTTTCCCCTCCCTTTCAACCCAGAGTCTGGCAGGTGCGCCCCCTACAGGCAACTGAAAGAGCCCACGGGGAGAAGTGCTCTCCTTAGGGACCCGGAGAATTTGGGCTGAGGATTTTCCCTCCCCTAGCTTGCTGGACCCAAAAGATGTTTTCGTTATAGGTCCAGGGTTTCTGTGGTCCTCCTTTCTCTCTCCTCCCCAAGTGACCTTAGGATTTCCACTTTCCTTCGCAGCCCCTTTCTGTCTCTGTCTAGTGCACTTTGCAGATTCTGTGCTCCCAGGTCCTACCTCAGTAGGATTTCAAGGAAAGCAGTGCTGGTACCCACATGGAATCCTGGACAGCTGGCCCAGGACCAGAGGCACAGGCAGCAGTGTGGGTCCCCACAGAGCTGCATGGTGGGTGCCAGGTAGACTGGAGGAATGAGGAACCACTCCCCTGAGTGTCTTCAGTCCCAGGTGAACCAGGGAGGAGTCGGCAGGCTGGGCTCAACCCACCAGGGCCTCCCTTATCCCTGTCTCAGCATCATCATCCTAGAATTTTCTGTATATGCTAAGCAACCACCAAAGAGCCTGACTAATTACCTGGACATTTCCCCTCGTCACACCTAACTACACATGACTCCTGCCCCAAATTACTCATGTATTAAAATAGCTAAATGAGCCTCCACTGGCTTGAATCCGGGACCCCTTTCAGGTTTGCCAAGTCCTCTGGGATCCTCACACATGCCAGACTCTTCCCACAGGGGCTTGACTCCGCTGTTCCCCACACAGCTCCTGAGACTCATTCCTTCTTTCAGTCCTGACAGCAGTTCCAGAGACACCTTGCAATTTAGGTGTCTCCAGCCTGTTATTATAACGCAGACTGCCTGTCATTTTCTGCCTACACCTTTTTCATTGTCTGCATAGCGTTTACAACTGTTGGATTCTTTGCCTATCATTATTTTATTAATTGATTGATTGGTGTTCATTATTTTTCTACTTGATCAGGAATACATTTATACCACAAGAGCACACATATGAAAAACAGAGGCACAAAGAGCTAAGGGTGTATTTCTCCCTGCATTAATACCTGCCACTTCCACGAAGACACCGTGTCTTTCTCATTCTCTATTCCACCAGCCTTATGATGTTGGTGATGTTTTCATCCTTGCTGATACAAGACCTCAGGGTGGCTGCTCCAGCTCCAGCTATCACACCTGTATTTAAGAGGAAAAGACCCTCATGAATCCAATGGTTTTCTTTTCTTTACAAGAGCAAAACTTTCCTAAGAAGCACCTCACCCGTTGACTCTCACATTCTACTGACCAGGCCTGAGCCACATGGTCAATCCCTGCTGAGAAGGACCTGGGAAACGCAGGTGCCTGTTATTCCGTGAATATAGAGCCCAAAGTGCAGGTAGAAGGTGGCAGGGGTCTTCTGGGTCTGTAAACCCAGTGTTTACTGAATGGCTAAATCAAAATGATGAGCAATTCACTTCAAGAAGGCTGTGTCTTGTTCCTGCTGAATTCCCGCATGGAATGTGTCCCTGAGCCCAGACTGACCTTGACTCTGAGCTCAGCAGGGCCCTGCCTGTGGTGGGCAGGATGCTCATGACCTTGCTGTGTGTGAGGGACTGGCGGGGCTGAAACCTACCCCCAACACTGCACTGTGCTCTGCTCACTGGCTTGTGTGAGTCTGACAGACTGCACTTGCCAGGAGAAAGGGAGTGTTTTTTCATTGATTCAAAGTCTCCATCCTCCTGCCATGCTCATGGACCACCGGGGTGAGAATGATGGGAGGGGGTGAAATGAGGGCCCCTGGAGTCTCTGAAGCTGACTACAGGTGCAAAACATAAGGGTGTCTCCTGGAACTGAGTTTTTGTCCGCAAGCCCACCTTCCTTTCCTCTCTTTGCAGGCTTCATGGCCTCCTATGAGCTGACTCAGCCAACCTCAGCGTCAGTGTCCCTGGGACAGACAGACAGAATCACCAGCTCTGGAGATAAACTGGGGGATACAATATGCTTCCTGGTACTAGCAGAAGCCAGGCCAGGCCCCCCTGCTGGTCATCTGTTGGGATAGCAAGCGGCCCTCAGGGATCCCTGAGCAATTCTCTAGCTCCAACTCAAGGAACACGGCCACCCTGACCATCAGCAGGACCCAGGCTGCAGAGGAGGCTATCACTGTGCCACAGCCCATGGCAGTGGGAACAGCTGGCCGTGACTCACAGTGACACAGATGGGGACACGGGACAGTAACCTCTGCCCCAGCCTGGCTGTTACTCTCAGGCTGCCCTCTGTGCCATGACCGTGACCTTCATTGCAACCGACTGTCGCTGTGTCTCTTGTAGCCCAAGCAACAGGAGAATCGTGTCAGATTTTCATCTGCATTGTGGTTTTCACAAATAATTCATTTGAAGTCCAACATCTTGCCACTTGAAATCCAAGCCTCTGCAGACGGTGCACAGGTTCAGGGTATGGAAAGTATCTCTAGAGAGCTTGGTTCCTGCACTGGGAACCAACAGTCTTTCCCCTCGCTTTGAACCCAGAGTGTGACAGGCACGCCCCCTACAGGCTGCTGGAAGAGCCGACAGGGAGACGCCCTTTACGAAGGGACCCTGAGAATTTGAGCTGAGGATTTTCCCATGCCCTCCCCTGGCAGGCTGGTCCCAGGACACTAAGAAGACTTATTGTTACAGGTCCAGGGCCTTTCTCGTCTTCCTTTTCTCTCTCCTTCCCAAGGGACCTTGGAATTGTTCCTCCCCTTCTCAGCCCCTTCCCTTCTGTGTCAAATGCACTTTGCAGATTCTGTGCTCCCAGGTCCTAGATCTGTAGAATTTCAGGGAAAGCGGTGCTGGTCACCCACATGGAAACCCAGATAGTGGGGCCAGGACCAGAGGCACAGGCAGAAGTGTGGGTCCCCACAGAGCTGCATGGTGAGCACCAGGATGAGGTAAGAAACCAGGAATCACTCACCTGAGTGTCTTCAGCTCCAGATGAACTAGGAAGGGGTCAGCGGGTTGGGCTCAACCAACCAGGGCCTCCCCCATCACTGCCCAGCAGCAGCATCCAGGAGGCCCCTATATGTGCTCATCAGCTGCCAACAACCTGATTAATTACCTGGAAATTTCCCCTCACCACACCTGACTACACATGACTCCTGCTCCCAAATTACTAATTTATTTAAATAGCGCAATAAGCCTAAATGGTTTGAATCCGAGACCCCTTTCAGGTTTGCCGCTGTCCTCTCAGATCCTCACACACACCGGACTGTTTCCACAGGGGCCTGACTCCGCTGTTCCCTGCACAGCTCCCAGGGCTCATTTTCTCTTTCATTCCTGACACAAGTTGCAGAGACACCTCCCCATGAAGGTGTCCCCAGGCTCTTATTATAATACAAACTGCCTGTTATTTTCTGCCTGCATTTTTTTCATTATCCCCATAGCACTTACAACTATAGGAATCTTTGCCTATTATTATTTTTATTTTTATTTTTTATTTTTTATTTATTTATTTTTTTTTTTTTGAGACGGAGTTTCACTCATGTTACCCAGGCTGGAGTGCAATGGCGCGATCTCGGCTCACCGCAACCTCCGCCTCCTGGGTTCAGGCAATTCTCCTGCCTCAGCCTCCTGAGTAGCTGGGACTACAGGCACATGCCACCATGCCCAGCTAATGTTTTGTATTTTTAGTAGAGACGGGGTTTCACCATGTTGACCAGGATGGTCTCGATCTCTTGACCTCGTGATCCACCCGCCTCGGCCTCCCAAAGTGCTGGGATTACAGGCTTGAGCCACCGCGCCCGGCCTTATTATTTTTATTAATTGATTGATTTGTGTTAATGATTTACTTAATTGGTCACGAATGCTTTTTTATCACAAAAGCACACATAAAAAAAACAGAGGCACAAACAGCTAAGGGCGTATTTCTCCCTGCAATAACACCCACCACTTCCACGAAGACACCAGGATCTTTTTCACTTTCTGTTCCACCATCCCTGTGATGTCGGCCTTGTTTTCATCCTTGTTGATGTAAGACCTCAGAGTGGCTGCTACAGCTCCAGGTATCACTCCCATATCCAAGGGGAAAAGGGCCTCATGAATCCAGTGGTTTCTTTCCTTCACAAGAGCAAAGCTTTCCTAAGAAGAACCTCACCCATTGACCTCGCATCTCACTAATCAGGCCTGAGCCACACCATCAATCCCAGATGAGCAGAACCTGGGAATCACAGGCGCCGGTCTTTTCAGTGAATGTAGAAGATAATGGTCAGGTGGAAGGTGGCAGAGACTGTCTGCTGCATCTGCAAACCCAGTTTTACTGCGTGGTCAAACCAGCACGATGACTAACTCACTTCAAGAAGGCTGTGTCTCGTTCCTGCTGAATTCCCAACATGGAATGTGTCCCAGACCAGAGTGGGTCTGGATAAACATTTGTTGGGCTGATGTTCTTCTGCCTGACTCTGGTGCAGGAGTCACCACTGTTCGTTGGCCCTGCATCCACATCAGGCACCAATAAAAGCCAGTCCTTGAGTCCTGTGATCCCCACCCTCTGTGCCAAGCCCCGGCATTACCCCCATAACCACCCACCACCCAGAGACCTATGCAGGCAGCCTCAGGTAGACCTGACTCCTCTTATTCCAAATATTCATGTTCCTGTTGTCATGGGTAACCTGCACCCCTTGCACCTGGTTTTGAGGCAGGCATGGGTCACACAGAGAAGAGAAAAACTTCTTCCACTGGAGCCAGCAGTTCACAGATCAGGGAATCAGGGACCTGAACAGCAGATTCTGAGGATACAGCTAGACCCAGGAGGCCCTGGCCTCCAGCAGCCAGTGTGGAGCAGCCACCAGAGGAAGGAGCAGAGTTACCTGGCAAAGCCACCTGGAGATGGGGTGGACCTGGGTGACAAGGAGATGCTGACATGCAGGGAGGGTCAGTGACCGCCACCCGAGATTTAGAAAGGTGTCGTTTTCTATAGCATCGCCCTTAACATCCAGGTACGGATTCTCCAGGCTTTGTCTTCTCAGCTCTGTCTCTTGCCAATGCTGCATGTTTGACCCAGGTGCAGACACTTTGCTCTCCCACACACTGGCCCACTCTTCTGTGCTAAAATGCGTCATTACCACTGAGGCCGTCCTCCCCTGTGGGCACATGTGTTTCATCTCCTTCCTGTTTGCTCTGAGAGCCCCGCATTCTGCTGCACAGCAAAGATTTCTCTCAGCATCTAAGCTGTACCACGACCACACACCGGCGATACTGGGGCACAGCACCTCTGCTCTACCCCAGGAGAGCAAAGTTCATAGCCAAGGCCAGGAACTTACAGTATCTGCTGGGTCTTTCAGCAGTCCATGTGCACATGACACGGGTGACGTTTGATTCTGGGAACCACCACTCAGAAGCAACAGCAGATCCCTGCACATGTGCAAGCCTCATGGTGTCACCTGTAGAGTAGGGTCACAGGGTCACGGCATTGGGTTGAAAAATGCCCTCCAGAGGGGGAGCTACAACTGCACCTAACGTCTGGACTTTGCCACAAAATATTTAAGGACAGGACACCCCCGGAATCCTAAATTACCCAAGTCACTCTGAGCCAGTATCCAACAGAGGAAGGACCTTAGGTTCCAGAATAATCCCTCAGTCGCCATTGTAAGTCCCTGGTCACCTCCATGCAGGACAAGGAATGACCACATGGGCAGGGCATCAGAGTCCCTGGAACATGCACATAGAATTCCTCGCAAAGCTCTGCATGGCCAGATCAGCTCAGGAGTGAAGCCGGAACACAACCTACAGTGGTGATGTCAGCCCCGACGATGGGGCCAGCAGGAGAAGGAGAATTCTGTGTGCTGGGGGTGGGTAAGCAGGGGTCACCCCTCCTCCTTCTGTGTCCCTTAGGGCTGAGCCCTTCTGTAGAAACCACAGAGCTCCTCCAGCAGCTGCCCCTGACTCTGCTGATTTGCATCACGGGCCGCTCTCTCAGCAAGGGGATAAGAGAGGCCTGGGAGGAACCTGCCCAGCCTGGGCCTCAGGAAGCAGCATCGGGGGAGCCTCAGCCATGGCCTGGACCCCTCTCCTCCTCGGCCTCCTTGCCCACTTTACAGGTGCTGCCCCCAGGGTCCCAGCCACCAGCCCGGCCCCAGGGCTCTGGGTCCAGCATGGCCCAAATCTGAGCTCAGCAGGGCCCTGCCTGTGGTGGGTAGGATACTCATGACCTGCTGCAGGGGGAGGGGCTGGTGAGCTGAAATCTCCCCATGCTGTGCTCCTGTGCTCACACTGCCCTAAGAGCTCTTTCGTGCCTGGAGCCGTGTTCAGGCAAGGCATGTGGGAAGATTTTCTTGGAGCTCAGCTTCTCAGTTGCAAGACTTTTCTCTCCCCGTTTTTCTCCTGTAGGCTCCATGTCCTCCTATGAGCTGACTCAGCCACGCTCAGTGTCAGTGTCCCCAGGACAGACAGCCAGTATCACCTGCTCTGGAGATAAACTGGGGGATAAATATGCTTACTGGTACCAGCAGAAGCCAGGCCAGGCCCCTGTGCTGGTCATCTATCAAGATAGCAAGCGGCCCTCAGGGATCCCTGAGCGATTCTCTGGCTCCAACTCGGGGAACACGGCCACCCTGACCATCAGCGGGACCCAGGCTGTGGATGAGGCTGACTATTACTGTCAGGTACCACACAGCAGCACTGCACACAGTGACACAGGAAGATGTGGAAGTGAGACAGAAACCTGCCGTCTCAGCCTGGCTCACAAGGCCCTGCACACAGCACACACAGGCTGGTAGACACAGGGAAGGGAAGGCCTTGAATCAAGTCTTGATTAGTAAATATTTATTGGATAAGTGAGCAATTTACCTAGGTGAGAACTGTGAGCTCTGTTGAGCAGACCACTTACCTGGATAACTGGCTTTCAGGAACTTCCTGAAGCAATGAGTAACATTCTTTATCATTTACACCCTCATCCTCCGGGGAAAGAGTGTCCTGGAACCAGCAGTTACGTTGACACAATTGGTCTCAGTCCTCAGCACAAACATTCATTGTGGGGGCGGGGGGAAGTGATAACGGAGGAGAAAGGAGTTTGTTCAATCCCTAGACACAAACAAATCCATGAGCGGGGATGAGGGATGAGAGGTATGGGCTCAGCTGGCCCAGTCCCACAGGGGTCATTCCTCTTGTGATGGAAATGACCACATGAGGGTCCCCCAAGCGGTGCTGGGGGTCAGTCCAGATGGAGGGAACTGGCCAACCAGGGCTCCCTCCTGCTTGGGCTGGGCCAAGGTCAGAGGGATGGAAGTCTGCACCCACCCTGGTCCAGTCCTTCCCAGCAGCATCTCCAGGTTCCGCCTCCCTCTACTGGGGCTTCCCCTCCACTCCCGAGCACCCTCATTGCTTCCTCATCTCCTGCCTCCTCCCTGCCCCCAGGCTCTGCCGGTGCCCACCCTGGCTCCTCCCCCTGATCCATTTCCAGGCTCTGCAGAGCAGCCCTGGCCCAGAGACTCGAGCAGAAGCTTCCATCCCACCAGCTGCAGAACCTTCCCTAAAGAACCAGGCCAGTCCCTGTGTCTCATATTTGTAGAGATCCCAACCACCCTCAGAGGTGCTGGGAGGGCTCTCTGACCCTAGCTGGGAAACCAGACCACATGAGCCAGGCTGTTGGGCATGTGGCCTTCAAGCTGGCCAGGCCCCACGTGGCTGCATCTCCCTGGCCAACTCCAACATCCGGGCTGGGAGTCTGGTATCCCAGGTTCCAGTTCCCATGGGCCATTCACTCCCACTAGGTTTGCTTCTAAACCCCCTGGGCCTCAGCTTCCTAGTCTTCCTACTGGAAGCAGCAACAGGCATTTTCCAGGGCTGCAGTGAGAGCCCTGGAACTCTCTCTGAGCCTCTGTTTTCTCATCAGTAGCAGGAGCTAGAAGACTCCCTGCCAGTCGGCCAGTCCATGGTATCTACAGAGGGAGCAGGAACCTCCCCTATTCCCTGGAGGAGAGCTGGGGTGGAGGCTGCAACCCAGGATCATCAGAGGAGCTGAGGTCTTCAAGGCTCCTAGGGACTCCTTAAGGGGGGATCAGAGTGGCTTCGGGGGTCTTATTGCTCAGTCCAGACAGAAGATGTTTCCAGTTGGGGAAGATGACTTCAGGGACAACAAGGACAGAGATTCACTTCTCGGGACACCGGTGGTTGATGTGCCTGGAGTGCTTCCCACACCAGCAGGGGAGAGAGTCCTGGAGAGAGGAAGTTCTAGGTGTCACCTCGATTTGAGGCCTCAGGGCCTGTATCAGGGGCAGGTGATGTCACAGTGAGTTGATGCTCCGCAACCCCTTCCCTAGGAGGTGGCAGAGGGAAGAGCAGGTGGTCATCTGGGGTGTGAGTGAGTTCAACCCTGAGGGTCTTCCCAAGCCGGAGGTCCCTGGGTGTAGAGGAAAGAGATTCTGGTCAGACAGGCCTGGTGTTGAATCCTGGTCCGTTTATTCATTTGGTCAAGAAATATTCATGGAGGACCCACTATGTTCCAGGTGCCAAGCCAGGTGACTGGGACACACTGTTGAGTGGGACAGTTGGCCCCTTCACTGCTAGAGGTTTGATATTCTCAAGCCAGGACTCAGGGCTCTGCAATTGTGTGTCAAGTGTATAGCCCCTGTGTGCATGTCTCCAGAGACTGGTTTCCTGGAGTTCCAAGTGATAGCCATCACTCACCTTGAACACAAAAGTTAAAGGAGCATCCAAAAATGTGGTGACCAGATAAATAATGCAATATTTTCAAAAATAGAAATTAATGCCCAAAAAACCCACAATGAACAACATTTCAGGATCTGACCCACTCACCTCAGTGGTTTCCCTCTTAGTCCTACCCACAGTCCCACAGGAGAGTGGGCACCCACGGAGATGCAAAACCAGAGTCAGGCCCCTGCACCCTCTTCTGCCCCGCCACCAGAGCCCTCCCCTGGGTCTCCGCCTCCCTCTTCTGAAGAGCTCCGGCCGGGTCCTGCTCCTCTACTGCTGGTCTCTGCTGCCCCCTACTGGACTCTTCCCTTACAGCTGCTCTCCAGGCAGCTGGTAGACGTTAAAGAACAGAAACCTCCCAAAATTCCACCCTCCAATTCCAGGCTGGCTCCACCCCATGTCCAAAAAGGCTGGTTCTCCCAGGTTTCTGGCTGCTATTAGTAAAATCCCAGGACACAGTCTTCACACCAAGTTGCTGTGTGTCTCAGGCAAGAAACTATCCCTCTCTGAACCTCTGTTTCCACATCAGTAGAAGGAGCTAGAAGACTACCCTGCCAGGTTGGCGAGTCCAGTCTGTGACATCTACAAAGGGAGCAGGAATCTCTCCCATTTCCTGGAGGAGAGCTGGGGTGGAGGCTGCGACCCAGGACCACCAGAGGAGCTAGGGTCTTTGGGCTTCCTGGGGACTCCTCAGAGGGGGATCACAAGCTGCGGAGCCAGCTTCTAACTCTGAAGACTTAGAGGTCCAGAACCTCTGTCACATCCCCAGCCAATACTTTGTCATCCTGTGCCTCAGACTCCCCCAGATCCCAGCAGTGAGAAGCTCAAGATGAGACAAGAAAGACCAGCCAGCTGCAATTTAGGGATGATGGCGAGTGGGGAGGTGGGGACCCCTGGGTCTGGGAGAGAGAAGTCTACAGTGCCTGCAGATGGAGTTTCTGGGATCTGGGGGGTGGAGACTGGGCAGGGGACTGACCAGCAGGAAACCGGAATTGGGGACACCCTCAGACATGGAGCAGGGCAGAAGCCACTGGATGGGGTACACCCCTCTGCTTTGGGAGAGAAGGGCCAGGGCAGGACCCAGAGGGCTCTGCAGAGGCACTAGAGACCCTGAGCAGGGGGTCTGCCAAGCAGGACAGCTGGACTTGACCTCCCCTGCCAGACCTGGGTCCAGCCCTTGCACCTCTCAGTCCAGGAGGACATGGGGCAGGCCTGGGTGGCCAGAGCTGCAGCTGCACCTGCTGGGAAAGCCCAGTCTGGCCCTCCAGGGACCCAGCCAGACTCGGATTTCCGACTGCAGCCACCATGGGAGGATGTGGTCTGCGGTGGTGACGTCTGCCCAGCGGCCATGGCAGGTGCAGGGGTGGGGGTGGGGGCAGCAGCTGGGGATACTACATTTAGGGACAGCCCCTTTTTATCCCCAAGACCTGGGACTGTCCCTGGAAGGAACCACAGCTTCTGGGTCCTGAGCAATGGGTGAGTGTCATACTCACAGAGGGACTGGGAAGGCACAGCTTCAGCCTAGACCCCCAGGGCAGACTCTGCCCCAGCCCCCAAAATGCAAGAAGCCCAAGATCAGAGGCAGGAATAGACCAAGCTCCCCAGGGGAAGAGAAGCTGTGCTGGACCAGAGGTTTCCCAGGGGCCCCCCTTATGCCCTGAATAATGTAAGGCACCCCATTACTGCTCAGTGCCTTGCCCATCTCCAAGGACAGGGATGTGTGGTCATTGTTTATATAATCCAGCCCCTGGCACCTGGCCTCAGAGGTTGCCCAAGCAATGTGTATAAAGATCCAGCCTGGAGAGCTTTGAAAACTGATTTGATGAGTCGAACCATTAAGTCATGGTCACCATCTTCAACTTCATCTCTTTCTTCCTCCCCCTTCTCCTCATTATCATCACCATCAAGAACTGTGAAGAGTCTGGGACTTCACCCTATTTGCAGACTAAAAAGTAAGCCTGCCACAGTGTTATGGGTGCTGGCAGAAGATGCGAGACTCCTGGGTCAGAGACAGCAGATAGTCTGTCTTTCACAAAAATAGCAGTTGCCAAGGTATTAGCACTGTCTTGCACCAGTTCCACGAGGTGATGCAAAGTGGGCCAGGCGACATCTGCATGCTAGAGCTCAGGGATCCCAAACATTTTATACTTGACAGTAAGCATATCTGCCTTCTGTTCCAAAGAGTGGCAGCCTCTGTACCTTCCGAGGTTGTTCACTCTAAAAACAGCCTTGAAAAGATCATCCACAACAAAGGCAATCAGTGCCTTTGCCCGAGAGACGTGCAGAAATGCAGAGATCCATAGTAGACAACTGCCTCCCAACAACCATCATCTTTATCAACGAAGTGAAGTCTGAGGCTATGTGAATGTTACCATCACCCACAAAAATGGCTGCCCTGATTGTCACCAAATTTATCAGGGAAATTAAGGAGTATCTGACTCAAAATGTGAACCAAGCAATTCTCAAGGGGGCCTCCCAGGAAATTCACTTTAGGAAGTTCTAGGAGGCTCCTTGGAGAGTTGCTAAAACAAAACATTGAGATCCCTAGAGGGCAGCAGATCTGAACGTGAGCAGATGTTTTTAGAGATTTTGTGGCAGAAAAAGTAACTGGAAAGCAAGAGGGCAGACCCTCACTGCATTTCCGTAAGGCGGCAGGGGAGGGGCCTTTCTCACCAGGGTATGGGGTCTTGAAGATCTCCTCAAACATTTTTATACTAGGCTCTCAGGGGCAACAGAAAAGATGAATAGGGGGTAAAGGAGTGCAAATGACGCAACGGGCCACACAAAGCAAAAGAGTTTTGTTCAGCCAGATCTAGTCCATGTTTAATTGAGCCGCTCCTTCGTGCTCCTCTGGGTTTGGAGTTTTCCTATGCACCAAGCAGCGTGTTACCACCTAGACCCAGAGAGCCATGTCTTCATCAGCAAAGTATGCCCTGGTGTCATGCAAGAACCAGGCCTCAGATTCTGACTCCAGCCCTACTGCCTCTTGGCCCTGGACATTAAAAAGGTAGGGAATCAGGCTGGTAGCAGTGGCTCATGCCTGTAATCACAGCACTTTGGGAGGCCAAGGCAGGTGGACCACAAGATCAGGAATTCGAGACCAGCCTGACCAACACGATGAAACCCAGTCTCTACTAAAAATACAAAAAAAAAAAAAAAATTAGCCAGGCATGGTGGCACGTGCCTGTAATCCCAGCTACTCAGGAGGCTGAGGTAGGAGGCTCTCTTGAACCCACCCAGGATGCAGAGGTTGCAGTGAGCTGAGATTGTGCCATTGCCCCTCAGCCTGGGTGACAGAGCAAGACTCCGTCTCAAAAAAAAAAAAAAAGTAGGGAATCAGCCTGAACAGCATTTCCTCATCTTCAATTGCGGGAGACAGTAGATGATCTTAGCTCCCAGGATTAAGGCTTGTAAAGCACCAGCACTAAGGAGCATTGCTATTATTATTGTATTATGCATCACATTTCCTTATCACAGTCAAAAAGGACCCCAACTCAAAGCACCTGCCGGCCCTCTCCTCCTCCACTACTGCTGAACAGAGCCAGGCACGAGTATTCCAGGTAGACAGATGAATAGGAATGCAGGGGGCGAGCTCCCTCCTAGATCCCAGCACAGCTTGCTCCCTGCTGAAGGAATGGTCTTGGGCCCTTCCAGGGTCCATGGCTGTTACCCCTGGGGATCTCTCCCAGAGGGGCAGCTTGCCCCATGGGTCACTTGCCCCATGGAAACCCCGCATGTTGTTCTGAATCCCAAACTAAAAGAACAAAAAGAGGACCTGAATCTGTTCAACGCCCCCTGAATGCTTAGCAAACACATGGTGTCTTTAACCCTCATAACCTCCCTGCTGCAGAAGAACTCTCTCCCCATTTTATAGATAAGGAAACTGAGGCCCAGAGGAGACCTAGGTCTGGATAGACTCCACATTTATGATTTCACCACTTTTCCTTGCCTGAAGGATATAGAATCACTCCCTTCAGGGCTCTTGCCTGACTCAGGAGAGGATCATAGGGTAGCCGGCCAGGCTTGACCAACCCAGCCAAGGAAGAGCTGGGCCCATCCGGCTGGAGTGCAGTGTGCAGGCACCCAGCCTGGGGGACTGATCAGAAAAGAAGCCACCGCTCCAGCCCCAGCCCCAACCCCCTGAGCTCAAGCCCTTGGGGACTCCTGCTGGGCAGCTCTCTAGGCCCTAGGGAGGTGCTCCACAGACCAGGGTGCCCTTGGGGAACTGGGGAAGGGAAGTGGGTCAGGTGTTACCACCCAGGGCCCCAGGGGCGGGGCCAGGCAGGCGGCTGTGATGGGAGGCCATTGAGCCCTGGATCTTGACCACAGCAGGGCAATTGGTAGCTGCCCCTCTGGGAGAGATCCCCAGGGGTAACAGCCATGGACCCTGGAAGGGCCTGGACTAGGGACAGGGACCAGAGCCATTCCAAGGAGAGGACATGGCCAACGGACTGGGGTGCACTTTAACAGCCCCGCTGGAGAGAGGGACCAGGGTGCCACCCTCCAGGGAGCCCATACTGCAAGTCGGGCCAGAGGTGCCTCTAACCCTGAGGGCCAATGAAACCCAAGACAAGCAAGTGAGTCGTGAGACCCCCAAGGAGCTGGGCCCTGGTCCCAGGCAGCGCTGGCCCCCATGCTGCAGCTGGGTCTGGCCACGGTCGCCTATGGCCTGCTGAGCCCAACAGCTACACCGCAGAGCCGGGTCCCAGACCCTGCAGCCTCAGTTGGAAGCAGCTGGTCCAGCCTGTGGAGGCTGTGGGGCAGGTAAGGGGCGAGAGATTCCAGGGGATGTGGGGGTCCTGTGGCAAAGCTGGGAAAGGATGACCAAGGGGAGACAAGCCAGAGAGGTGATGAGGAAGCTAACCCCTAAGAGGGTCCTGGGAGACACTGGCTTTAACTAATAGGTTGATATTTTGGCCATCACAGATTTGTTTGAATTAATTACTGTTTGTAATATCATATTAAACTATTATTTTTCTTGATTTCTGGGTTTTCTGGCCCCACTTAAATTTTGCACCAGGGTCAGTGCCTCGATCACCTAGTCCTAGTCCCCTGGGTAGGGCAGGAACAGAGGCAGGGGCAGGACATCCACAGGGGGTGGCGGCCACTGTCCCCACAGGGTGTCCAGGCCTGTTCCTGCTCCCCCTCTTCCTCCTCCTCCTCTCTGCCCATGTGCCTCCTGCCCAGTGAGGGCAGGGTCCACTCCCTGGAGAAGGCAGTGAGGGCTTGGCTTGGTCTCCCCTAAGGCCCTCCATTCACCAACTTGCTCATAAATGCTGACTGGGGCCAGGCTCAGGGACACAGGGAGGGTGGGCTGAACCGAGGGGCACTGTACAATCATTGGAACAGGTGCATGGCCCATGTTTGGAGCAATAAAGGGAGAGGGGAGCTCCCTCTGTTGGGGGATGCCCAGGCTGGTCTCACAGATCAAGGGGCACTGGTCAGTGATGGGCAGCACCAGAGGAGAAGAGAGCGAGGGGTGAGGCTGGGAGTTCCTGGGTGACTGGGAAGGGGATGGACCATAGGGTCCATGACCCATCCCCGTGTCCAGGACGAGTCCTTGGAGAGATTTAGGTAGGAGATTGATTATCAGGGTTGGATTTGTGTTTTTGGAACAATTGGCGCCAGATCGAAGGCTGATGCAAGGCCGGATTAGAGGAGGGAGGAGAGGGAGTGACAGCCAGGTCCAGGGTAGGTGGGGAGCCTGGAAGGAGCCATGCCCTGGGGCTGGGGAGGAGGCACAGGTCCAGAGCAGCCAGGGTCCCAGATTCTTATGAAACAGGAGCATGAAGCTGAAGTGAGGGCTGGGCAGAGGGGAGCAGGCACTCTCTGGGACTGTCTATGGGCATTGAAAAGGTATAACTATTTTAGCAATAGGTGGTGAGTAAAACAACAAAATGTATTTGTCTAAATTGAGCAATTCCACTTCTAGGAATTTATCTTAAGGGGGGAATAATCAAAGCTGTAACCAAATGTTTATCACAAGGGTGGTTAGCTCAGCATTATGAATGATGGGAAAAAACTGGAAGTAACCCAAATATCACATCTATCAAAAAGGGTGTGAAAAAAACACAATTGTATTTGGGGCTGTTTTGTTGTTGTTGTTTCAGAAGAGAGTCTTGCTCTGTTGCCCAGGCTGGAGTGCAGTGGGATAGCCACAGCTCACTGCAGCCTCAACCTCCAGGGCGCAAACGATCCTCCAGCCTCCGCCTCCTGAGAGCCGGGACTACAGTTACAGGCCACTACACCTGGCTAATTTTTAGTGGGATTATTATTTTTTAGAGACAGACCCTCGCTATGTTGCTCAGGCTTGTCTCAAATTTCTAGGCTCAAGCAATCCTTCCGCCTGGGCTTCCCCTGTGCTGGAATTACAGGCATGAGCCACTGCACCTGGCCCAATTGTGTTTTTAAAGTATATATGCATTTTCAAAAATCTGTCAGAAAATATAGGAAAATGTCAATGGTGTGTCTGTCTGGCTGGTGGGATTTCACCTAATTTCCATTGTGGCTTTATAATTTTCTGGTTTTGTGAAATTGTTCACAAAAAGGGACATTTCATTTTTATCTTCTAATATAATTTTTAATACAAGAGTAATGTACTCTTGTACATTATTCTTTTTGTAATGAGCACTTTACAAAATGTAATGACTTCCGTACATCACTTTTTTGCCTTGCAAAAGAAAAAAAAAGATTAAACAGAGAAGTATATAAAGTAAAAGCAAGTGCTTCTGCTTACCATCTCCCACGTCTTCCCAGAGATGGCCACTGTCAGGTTGTTCTATTACTTCCAGACTTTTTCCTGTGTGTACGTCCCTGAAAACACACACATATACACACACATACAGAATTGGTGTTGGGATTTTATTTTGGAAAAATAGAGCTATATTCCACATATTACCAACTTTAAAAATAATCTATTATTGACATTTTCTATATCAGTCCATATGGATTAACCACATTCACATGGCTATATAAGCAAAGTTTAGATGAGCCAGAATTTATTTAATCATTCCCCTATTAATGGGCATCTAGGTTATTTCCACTAAAAAATCTAAATGACAAATGATGCTGCAGTGGAAATCCATGTGTGTATGCCTACAAAGTGCATTCGTATATCTCCCCAGGATAGACGCCTAAAAGTGGAATTGCTGAATCAGAGAGATTGCACTTTTGAAATGTTATAGGTAATGCTTCCAAGTCTGTGTCCACTCATTCCAGTGAATGGTTGTGCCTTCTCTCCTACATTCTTGTCAATGACACAATATTGTTGATCTTTTTATTGTCTGCCTATCTGATGAGCAAAAAAAATGAATGTGTTTATTGTTTTATTGTGTATTTTATTACTGGTGAGATTTTTAATATTTTTATTGATTGATTGTATTTCTTCTGTGAATTAACTGGTTATCATGTTGCCTGCTTTTCCATTCAGTTGCTTGCATCTATATATTGGGATATATTTGGGATTTTAGCCACTTGTGTAGTATGCATATTGTAAATATTTTTCCCTAGTCCGTTTTATGGGTCTTCTGTTTATGGGGTCTCCCACCATAAAGATGTTGTAAATTTGTATGTGTTGAACTGGTTTAACCTTTTCTTTATGGTTGCTGTGACCCCTCCATGTGTAGGAAGTCGTCTTTATTTCAATATTATAAAGTCATTTTTCTATTTTATTCTGGTACATTCAGTGTATTGGTGTTTTGTTGTGTGGTTTTTTTTTTCTTTATTTCACCTGGAGTTTATTTTTGTGGATATAGGAATAAAACCTTATTTCCCAAATAGGAAAGCCAGTCATCACACATTTGTTGAATATAAACGCAACTTTTATCATCTACTACATTACTGATTTATTACATTCTTTCTGTGGTTCTCTTGCTATTGATCTAGTCCTGTGCCCACCCTGTTTTGATTATTTTAGCTTTATAGTATGTTCAGTATCTGGTAGGAAAGAACCCGTCATTGTTACTTTTTCTCAAAATAGTCATGTCTATTATCCGTCATTCTTAGAGTTGGACTGTAGAATCAGTTCCCTAATTTTCAAAAATCATTCTTTTGGTGTTATGTTTGTAATATCACAGAATATGGGATTAATTTGAGAACTGCTATCTTTATAATGCTCAGCGTTTTTGTCCAGAGATATGATGTACTCTTCATTCACTCAGAGAAGTGTTTTGATATTTGATTCATGCAAATCTTGCACACTTTGTTTTTATTCATAAAGGGTTTATGAATATAATTTTATTGAATTTATAATTTTTTGCCAATTTTATATCCTGAATGATTACTGTTTCTATAGCAAGGAACCCTATTAACTTTTGTATGTTGCTCTTGTATCCAGCCACTTTAACTCTTGTATTAATTCCAGAAGTTCTTCAGCTGATTCTCCGTGTGTGGGGGTGGGGGTGGGCAACTATCACATCATTTGCCAAGAACAATTTTCTTTCTTTTTCCTCAATATTTATACCTCCTCCTCTACCCCTTTAATATTTCATTGACTAGAATCTATAGAATGTGTTGAATAGTAAAAGTGAGAGCAGACAACCTTGCCTTGTTTCTGATTCTTTAAATGTTTTGCCTTTAAATATAAATGCTGCTGTAAATTTGGGGAGATGTTCTTCATTGAGTTAAGAAAGTTTTCTTCAGTAACTTAAAAAAAAAGTCTAGATGTTTGCTTTCTTTATACCATAAACAAATGCTGAATTTATATTACTATTAAATTCTGTCTCAAAAATCTTCTGCACATGTCTTAAATACACATGTATTAAATACAACCTGCTGCTAAGATGAAATTTGCTGGCCCTGTCACAATGGGTATCTTCCAATGTGAACAAATTGCCTTGGGAAGTAAAATAAGATTTGGCAAAACCTGAGGATTCTTGCCATCGTAAACTCTTAGAGTGTGACCTGGGTGTTTTTCTTTTTCTCTGGAGGATGTTAATAGTATCTTGCTAGGACGTCTAGGACAGAGGATAATACAATGAGGGGAAGGCATTCTGGGATGTCCTCAGGCCTCTGGCTTGAAGAGTAACTTGCTGAAGTGAGGACTTTGTGGGGGAGCAAGGTTATAGAGAAATGAGTTTAGCTGGGATCTGTTGAGTTGGAGGTTTCTACAAGGCATCCAAGAAGACATAGGTTGAGGAGGTAGAATATACATGAATCTAGAGCCTAAAAGAGAGATAAGGGCTGGAAACAGGGATCTAAGACCCCCTGGACAGTTGTGAGTGTGCACAATGAGAGTCAGATGCAGAGACAATGAGGAGAATACAGAGAGCAAAACCCAGGGTAGAGATCTGGGAGTCAGCAGCTGGGCATGGGCCTGGGAGAAAGGGAAGCCAAGAAGGAGGAGAGGGGGCAGTCTCAGACACCAAGGAGGGGACAGTGGCTAGAAAGAAGAGCTTCTTGCAGAGACATAAGGGGACTGGGGAAGAACTGCAGACTAAACTGAGACAAGGGACTTTCTGGCCTTAACTGGAGAGATTTCAGGGAGAGATGAGGCTGAAAGCCAGGGAATCCTGCCATGTCCCAGCATAAAAACAGTATCTGACATAGATGGGTGCTTGGGAACTGTTGTTGGATGAATGAGTGGACAGATGCATGGATGGATGGATGGATGGATAGATGGATGATAGATTGATGAACAAAGAGATAAAAAAATGAACAGCTGGATGGACAGTTGGATGGACAGGTAGATGGAAAAAATAATCTGAGATATCAGAAAAAGCTTCATGCACAAAGTGGAACTGAGCTGTGTCTCCATGGATGGAAAGTAGAGGAATCACCACTTGAGTCAGCAATGACCCAGTGTTCTAAATCCAGAGAGAAAGCCAGCCTGGCTTGACTGGGGACACTTGTGTGGAAAACTCAGAGGCCCTTTAAATGAGGCCAGATGAGGTTGAACGGGTCCAAGCCAACTCAGTACTCCCCTGCCACACTGCAGGAGGGGATATGTCACTCAGGGAGTTGCTGGGACCTATTGGTCCCAATATTGCCATCAGCACCGACAGCCTGGGAGAGGAAGGACACACACTGGGGTGACTCCAAGACTGTGGGTGACACTTGCCTTGGAGAGGGGATAGGTACGGGACACTTCTGGGGGGCTGGCCACCCCCCCGACTCATGCCTAGCCTGCCCACTGCAACCCCTGTGCCAGTCATGCACAGCAGGCTCCTGCTCCAGCCCAGTCCCCAGGGAGCAGACCCCAGGTGCTGGCCTTGGGGGTTTTGGTCCGAGCCTCAGTCACTGTGTTACATCTTTAGATCTAACATCCCAGGTCATCATCCTAGGTAAGTGGCTCTCAACCTTTCCCAGCCTGTCTCACCCTCTGCTGTCTCTGGAAAATCTGTTTGCTCTCTCTGGGGCTTCCTCCCCACTGCCTTCCCAGCCTTAAGCACTGACCACTACCTTTCTCCATGGGGACTGGAGGATGTGCGTTACTCTTGGGGTAACCGGCAGGAAGGGCCCCACAGTGGGAGCAGCTGCCATCAGTTTCCAACAGCGGGATGCAGCCTGGTCACAGGGCCTGGGCTGGGATTAGGCAGGGTCAGCCTCCTTCCCCTCTTCCAGGCCAGAGGTCTGAGTGAGGGACAGAGGTCGGTTCTAATAAGGGCCCTGAAGTGGCCTTAGAGACAGTCCCTGGGACCCCAGGGTCTAGGCTAAGGGCTGGATGCCCATCCAGCCTGTGAAGGCCACAGAGGGGCCTGGGGACACAGAGGTCACCCCAAGGGAAGACCAATGAAGGGCACAGAGAGGGCTCTGGGTCCAGGCTGCAGCTCTCTGGCCTATGCTGGGTCATGAGGACACGGGGACACAGAGGGATGGATGAGACTGGGTGAGGTCCCAGAGCCCAGCCCTCCCAGGACAGTCATTAGAAAGGAGAAGATCTCTTAAGGCAGAGATGTGTGTGTCCCTGGAGCCCCGTCACCTCTGGGGTCTGGTGCCTATTCATGGATCAGACTCCTGCCTTCCTCAAAGGGCATGTTAGACTCAGGAGATGACCACATGGGAGTGAATGAGGGGTGGAGGGAACTCCATGGCTACCAGGAGAAGTTCAGGGTCATCAGAGATTGCTGGGGTGGGCATGGGGGCTGCTGAGTCTCATAGTCTAAGGGAAAAGCCCCAAGAACACAGCTGAGGTGAAGCATTCTGTGGCTGCGCTTGCAGAGAAAGGAGACTCCCCAGAGCCTCAGAGGAGCTGAGAGGCTTTTCTAGGTGGAGCCCACCCCCTGCCAGTAGAGCTGAGGGGGGTGGGTTGGGGCAGAGCCTGGTGCCTGTGGGGATAGGAGGCTCCAGTTCAAAGCAGGCTCAGGTCTCCCCACACGCTGCCTGCCAGGACAGTTCTACAGGCTGAGCAAGGGACCTGCAGTTCACAGAGGGGGCTCTGAGTCCTGGAAGAATTAAGTGGGAGGTGGGGGGGTCTAGGGATGGGAATGAGAAATCCAGGGAGTCAAGGCCAGATTCTAAACTCAGACTCCAGAGATCAAGGGCGAAGAAACAGAGCCTGGCATGGGTATATGAGGAAATGGGAGCTGTAGAGGAGAGGAGCTGGGCCACCTGGGAAAGGTGACTTGGAAGGGCTCCTAGGAAGGCTCAGGGCTGCCTGCTTTCCACAGGGTACAAGTGGAAAGGATGGGGAAAAGGAGAGGAGGAGAGGCCCCAGGTGGACCAGATGGTCATACCGTGAACCCTCCCAGAGACTTTAGACAGAGAGAGGGGCTCCACAACACCCTGGGGTTCTGTCTGCCCTCTCTCACCCCCTTCTCTGTCCACACAGCTCAGCCCAAGACCGCCCCCTCAGTCACTCTGTTCGCGCCCTCCACTGAGGAGCTCGGAGACAACAAGGCCACACTGGTGTGTCTCACGAGTGACTTCTACCCAGGCGCTGTGATGGTGACCTGGAAGGCACATGGCACCCCCACCACCCAGGGTGTGGAGGCCACCTTGGCCTTGTACCCAGCAGGGCTATGGATCTGGTCCTCCCTGGGTGGTCTCAGTTTTCTCATTCGTGAAATAAGACAGGGACTGTGGCCACTAGAATCCTTAGCCTTCTTCTAATTCAGAAGCTGGGATTTGAGTCAGGGGTGGCTGTGATCAAGCACCAAGTGGCCCTTTCTCTGCCTCATGGTGACCGCAGAGCTTCCCGCCTTTGCAGGCTCTGTCCCTGGCCTATCAGGATCACCCAGCAGCTCTGTTGAAGGCAGCAACCACATCCCTGATGTGCTGGAGGCAGAGACAGGGGATCTGAGAGTACCCAGGCACTGAGGACTGACCAAGAACGGCTAGGGCTGCCACACCCAGGAGGCTGACATTATCTGCTGTCGGAGACACTGGGATGAGTGTCTCTGAGATGAGGCAGCAGGTGTACATGGGATGGGGTGGGGAGGCTGCACCACCACGGGCTAGGGAGGGAGACGGTGCTCAGTGGGCAGGAGGGTTTGTGGGATCTGACTCCTAGTGGAGGCCAGCCCTTGCCTAGAGCTGTCAGCCCACATTCCCTCAGCTCTTATCCAGTCTGACCTGGCCCTGAAGCTCATCCTGAATTCAACTCTGATACAGCCTGCCCCGGGCAATCAATAGATGCAGAGTTTGACCTTGGATTGGTGACTTTTCTCATTTTCCCAATTTCCCCATGTCCTCTTGCTCCTGCAGACTGACCATCATCAAGATCCATCCACAAACCAACCAGAAACTAACTTTACCTGGGCCTGATTTAGTGGTCCACACCCTTCCTGCTTGACCTCCAGCCCCATGCTAGGGTTCACCTGGAGCCTGATGCCGAACCCCCACTAGAGCTGTGAAAAAGGAAGCTGGGGCCACTGCCCCTGGTGGCATCTGCTCATTAGGGAATCCACACAGCCCCCACACTCAACCCACAGAAAGAAGAGGACCGGTGACATCCTGTGACCCATAGCAGGATCCCTGGGAGTCCAGGCTTCCGGAGGACATTGGGATCTTGGATTTGTTTTTTGCACCATCATGCAGGCACAGGGTTGAATTTACTGGAGGGCATCAGTGCCACTAAGGAGTGAAATTACACAGATTGGGATAGGTGGTTTCTTCTCTGCAAAATTGAACCAACCATTCAACTTTTGGTAACACCATGGGGTGATGCAGAGGGTGCCCCTCTCCTGCCAGGCAGAGGCTGAGGCTGGTGGCCCTAGAGTGCAGTGTTCTAGGAACCTTGGGGGTTTCAGCCCTACCTTCTGGAGTAGTTCTAGCTGGGATGGGCCTGGTCAATGAGGCCTGGCTGGTCCCGATACGAAATGCCAGCCACATCTGCGAGGGTAACCTTGGGAGCATCCCCTGCACCCCTGAATTTGGTCTCATGTTGGTTGGGACAGCTGGGGTGGTGGCTGTCATTGTCTTTTTCAGATGGGGGACATGAGGGAGCCTCCAGAGTATGGTCTCCAAATACTACCTCTCACTAAGGGAAGGGAGATCAGTGGGTAATTCCAGGCCTGGGGCAGGAAAGACACATAAGACAAAAAAGAAAAAGACATCATAAGACAGATCTCTTATCCTCTGACTAATCAGGAGCCATTTAATTCCCTGGAGCCATGCGAGGAAATCTGATGCCCCTTTAGGAGACTCCCATTGGGAAAATATTCATCATTGGTGACCACCTGTCATCATCAATTAAATACAATGACAGTGGCTTCAAAAACATTAGATGGCTTGAATCCTAGAGTTCAGAGTGAGAATACACTTGAATTATTCACCCTGGATTGATGGCTGGGCCCTGGATCATCTGTGTGCAAAGCGGCTCCTTCCTAAAGCATGAAGCACACTCCTGGGTGAATGGAGCCCAGCTGCAGGGCTCTGACTTTACAGACACACTGCAGCGCTCATGAAAAGGAGGTGAACTGAAGCCTCAACCCTCGGCCTTCCTTGCAGCTATTGTCCATCCTATGCAGCTAACATTACTACAATAGTGGCAATCTGTCATGTGTGGCTTTGCTGAAAGTAGCCCCCGGTCCTTGGAAGCTATTCTGCAATGTTCAATCTGAATCCGGTTAGTCCCCTCCATGCTAGAATCGTTTTCCAGGAAAATAAAAGCCAAGGGGAGCCCTAGGTTCCTGCTCCAGGAGGCGTGGCTGTATTCCAACCAGGGGAAGGTGCCCAGCCAGCTCTCCGCTCCTGCAGCTCCTTCTGCCTTGCCAGGAAGCACTAGAGCAATTTAGGAGATATCCACCAGTGACAACCAGCCTAACGGCACATGTACCACCCTGCTGGGTACAAGGCCAAAGACTACCACACCCTCCAAACAGAGCAACAAGTACACAGCCAGCAGCTACCTGAGCCTGACGCCGCAGCAGTGGAGGTCCCGCAGCAGCTACAGCTGCCACGTCACGCACAAAGAGAAAACCGTGGAGAAGACAGTGGCCACTGAAGGATGTTCTTAGGCCCAACCCTCACCCCACCCACGGGGCCTGGAGCTGCACGTTCCCAGGGGAGAGGTCTCTCCCCCCAATCCCAAGACATCCAGCCCTTCTCCCTGCACCCAAAAAGCCCTCAATAAATATTCTGATTGTCAACCAGACATCTTGTTTTATCTTAGTTTTCCTTTTCTTACATATAATTCCTAACCTTTCCTGGGTTCTCTGGGGCAGATGGAATTCTGCATCCAGTGGGAAAGTCACCCAAGGGAGGAGACTCACAGCCTCTCTGAGGCATCTCTCTGGAGGGTCCTATCTCACCCAGTCACCCCTTCCCCAACTCTCTGCTGTACCCCTGAGCCACCGGCCTGGTATCAGCTCAGACCAGTGCAACACCCTCAAAATTCTACTTCTCAATAAGGACCCGACTGTGTAAAACCCAGGGTCTCCAATATGCCGTCTGTGTCTGGTCATGTGCCTGTGCTGAAGGGTCGCTGCTGAGGGGCAGGGATAGTTCCAGGTAAGGTCCCATGTCCCCATCATCCCACGCCCCACCCAACCTGCCAGGGAACGGGTGAGCTCCCTGTGTTGGTGGGAACCATGATCCAGAGCAGAAAGTTATCCCTGCAAAGTGGTCCCTCAAATGCAGTCCTTGCCCACCTGCGAAGGATGTGGAGCCTAGTGAGGACAGAGTGGTGTCCCTGAGCGGGGTATTGGGGAGAAACGAGGAGTGTACCAGGGGCCCTTCTGTGGGCTAGAGGCAGAACACCCTTGAGCCCAGGCCATGACCAGAGCAGGAACAGGGTTGAACTTCCCTGTCCCATCCATGATATGCAGTTAGGAGACCATTTACTAGGTGAGGGGCCCATGGTTGTGCCATCAAGAGGGAGGCATGAAAAGGCTGGAAAATGGAAAACTTCAGTGTAGTTTTCACTTTCATAAGGCACATTAGTTATGAAAGGCACTGACAAGTCCTGCAGTGGGAAAACAATTTTATATAACCTTACAAGTCAAGAATTCTATTCACGGTCCCAACCAACTTAGAGAGCCCTAGAGTGCTCTTCAAGCCCCTGGTGTTCATGTCACTAGCGCTGGGACGTGGGGTAAGGCTGAGGCACACAGGTGATTTGTTGTGATCGAATGAGTCAGGCTCAGGGTTGACACTGGCCAGGCCAGAAAGAGAGCAAGGGGCTGAGATTGCAACTGTGAAGTCTCAAGTTCTAAAGTCAGGGGATATGGTAGAGTTAGATTATGGTGATGGCTGGGGCCATGATAGCCAGCCTGTATGAGGGTCAGACTCAGGTGGACTGGGTTGAATGAGGAAGACACCATCCCCAGCACAGAATGGGCATCCGTTGATAGTCTGATGGAGGCTGTGTCAAAATCGTATCCACCCAAGAATCAGGGCCAGGTCACACTAGGTCACGGCAGGGTGAGTGTGACTTGAGGGCTACAGGCAAGTCAGGCTTTCATGGGACTCAGCTACCCTAGACCCCACCCCACCAGGCCCTACTCCCTCCCTCCCTCACATGGCTCAGCCCCAACATCTGCCCTTATAGCCCGAGGTCAGAGACACAATTGTCCCAGGGTCCCTGACAACGGGTGAGGTGGCCTTGGGAGACTCACTTTGAAGCCCTCCTCATCAGTGCTGGGTGCTGTCAGGCCCCTTCTTGGTGCCTCCAGGACATCAGCGATGTGACAGGTGCCTTCATCAGAGCTGCTGGGTGGCCAGGCTTGAGACAGAGCCTGCAAGGACAGGAAACTCTAGGGCCATAGTGGGGCAGAGAATGGGGTCCTCTTGGAGCTTAATCACAGCCACCCCTTCCCCAAATCACAACCTACAAGTTAGAAGGAAACTTAAGGGTCCTGATTCCCACCACCCCGTCTGGCCCCATTTCATGGATGTGAAAGCTGAGACCCCTACAGCAAAGAGGACCATGTTGGCCTCCACCTTCTCAATGGCCCTGCAGGGTAGGATGCCAGACTTTCCTCTGATGTCCCAAGACTAAGCCCTCTCATTACTGCCTTGTAAAATATTACAGGAAACTGACAGCAAGAAAAGCAAACGGGAGGATAATATAGCTAATGTTGACCCACCCAAAATCAAGTAACTTCTCTTTTACATAGTTGTCTGAAGCAAATTGCAGACATCATGTCCGTTAGTCTAAATATTCCATTTGTGTCTCTAAAAATATGGACCAAAAAAAAAAAAACTACGTCCTTACAAACCCAATAGAAATCAATAATTCTTTAATATCAAAAAGAAGTTTCCCATCAAATGCTTCAAAAATGTCCTATGCTTCTTTCACTAGACCTGTGTTGTTATTGGTATTTTGTGATTTTGCATTTCATTTCTATGCGGATTCAATACGGTTTGAAATTGTGACTGGTGACTATGTTTTTAGACCTGTTCCATCTGCAAGTGTCTTCCTAATTGATTTCTAATTTCCTTGCAAGGCAGGAGCTGCAGGAGCTGAGGGCTGGTCCCAGGACCTTCCCATGGTCAGGATGCAGTCCGCAGCCTCCCCAAGCTGGAACCAAGCGCTCCTCCCTGCTTCTGCATTTCCTGAAAATGGGTTCTTGGACAGAAAGGTTTAACAAGGTTCAGTGTGACTTTTCAGCAAGACCACTTGGCTAGTGGGCTCCCATGTGGGGTCACCTATTTGTGACATCACATGGGCTTCACACTTAGTGTCCAGTGCTGTTAGATGGTATATGGATGCAAGGTGACTGCACTTCAGTTCGACCACCTTTTCCTTCTACTGAGTATCTGTAAAGCCCTGCCCTCATATGTTCTGTGCTTCTCTAGGAGTGTGATTCTTATTTCAGTAAGAAATAGCATAGACATGTTGAGTCTTTCCTTTCATTTAGCATCTTAATAACGATGACCGTGTTGCCTGCCATCTTCTGAAGATGAACAATTATTTGGTATCATGGTGAACTCAAAGTTATGTCACTGTATGTGACACATTTGAGTCCACCACCGTTCTATTTTATTGACGATGACACTGACCCACCGTGGCCCATTGGGTGCCTCTTCTGGTGGACTCAGAATTCTCCTGAAAGAACCCAGTGGACCTCGATGGCTTTCTGCTCTCTGTTCACAATCTATCCTGGGCACATCTTTCTCCTGCCTTTTGCCTGGAATTGCCCATTAACCCCGAGTAGACTGGTCCCTGGAAGTGGGAGGTGGGATTTATCGATCACACTGGGGTGATACTTACACAGCCCTTTTGTGTCAGACACTCCAGACACACCCAAAAATGAGACAAGACCCTGAAAGGGTGACAGGGGCTTGCATCCAACTTCCTGGAAGTTGAGGCTGGCATTTCTTACTAGAACCTGGCAAGACCCATCCCAAACTAAGACAACACCGGGAGGATGGAAGCGAGACCCCCGGAGTTGTGGTTGTGGTCACATCCCCCACTTGCAGCTGTGATGCAGGAAGCCGGGCCACTGCCCCTGGTGGGCATTTCCTCAGCAGAGTCCACACGCCTGCCTGACCTTCTCCAGCTGAGATGGCACAGTTGACCCCACTCACAGCAGGATAACTAAACTACTCCCTTGGGCAATGATGTGAAGCAAGTGCCGAAGTCATTGCACACTTAAATGGAGAGAATCAAGGATTTCTCGACATCATAGTTAATGAGGGTCTCATCCAATGTCTTGTGAATATCATTGTGTATATTTTTAGTTGACTTTCTGATGCTGTCGCATATTTGTGGGTTTTAATGTAGTTTCTAAGTGGATTAAATACTTGAAATACTTGACGTTATCATTAGTGAAGGTGTTTTTAGGTCCATTCCATCTGCAGCTGTCTCCCAAATGGCTCTGGCTTTCCCAGGCAAGGCCGAAGCTGCAGGAGCTGAGAGCTGGTCCCGGGACCTCCCACAGTCGGAATGCAGCCACTGTGACCCTGAGCAGCAACCCAGTGATTCCCTCAACCTCTCTTTTCCTGACAAATGGTTCTAGCATCAAGAGGCTCAGTGGGGTTCAGGCTGGACACTGGCATAATCCCATCCCAGGACATGTGGCTACTTCCAGCAAAGTCACCCATGTTGTGTTGTCATTCTTTTAGTGACATTGGTTGCTTGATAATCAATAACTTCGTGCCTCAGATGAGAAAAAAGACGGAGGGTCCATTAGTTGCATTTGATGATCAATAACTTCACGCCTCAGATGAAAAAGAAGGTGGAGCGTCGATTGGTTGCATTTGATGATCAATAACTTTACACCTTCAGATGAAAAGGAAGGTGGAGGGTCGATTGGTTGCATTTGATAATCAGTAACTTCGAGCCCCAGATGAGAAGGAAGGCAGAGGGTTAAGGCTTCAGCTCACCTCCTTCTCGTGAGCGCTGCAGCATGTCCATGAAGGGAGGGTGCAGCAGCTACCCTATGCACCCAGGAGTGGGCTTCATGCTTTGGGAAAAAGAAGAAATGTAAATTCCTCCCTTTTGTTCACCACTTTGATAACTGACGATCTGGTGCCCGGCCATCCTCCAGGGATGTAGTGCCAGAGTGAGCTCTAGCAGGTGAGGACACCTGACATGTGGGATCCACTGCAGTTATATTGAATTGCCAATGACAATGTGGTGACAAAACATGGACATGTACCCCTAGGCGCTTCTTCAGGTAGCATCTGGTTTTCTCCCATTGACTCAGGAGCTTCCATGGCTCCTGATTTCTAGGAGGATGAGAGGTTCTGTCTCATCATGTCCCTTTCCTGCCCCAGGTCTGAGATCTCCCACTGACCTCACTTCCCTGAGCAGAAGGTCATATCTGGAGACCACATTCAGGAGCTCCCTTACGTCCCCCACATTTGAATAAGGCAATGGCAGCCACGACCCCACCTGGCCCACCAACATGAGACCAGGTTGAGGAGTGCAGGAGATCCTTCCATTTTACCCTGCAGGATGGGGCTGGCATTTTCAATGGGGACCAGCCAGGTCTCACTGGCCTGGCCCATCCCAACTAGGACAAGCCCAGGGGAGGCGGGGCTGGGACTCCTGGAGTCAGAGCTAGGTTCATGGGAAGGTTCCCAGGACACTGCACTCTAGGATAACCAGCTTCTCCCTGGAGGGAGACGGCACGCTCTGCTTCACCCCAGGGGTTCACCAAGCAGTCAGTATTGAGTCAGCTCCACTAGGGAGACCATTTATCCCTGAC